CCACTGGGCTTCAAACAAAATCCTGGCAGCCCAAGCCAATTTGTAAACATCAGAGTTACAGGACAGATTCTAAGAATGCCAATTCTACCCCTGCTCACTGCTACCACACTGCCACCTCCTGTCTTCTGACTCAGGAAGCTTGAATCAGGGGCAACAGTCGATAAAGGAAACTCAGCTAAGAATAGCACAGCTAAACATCTTTCCACCTCTCCTTCCTCCCAGACCAAACCAACTGCCAGAGTTGCTCAATGGATAATTCATACCTTTCAAAATTTAGTTACTACTAGAAAAGCTGCTGCCTGAATATTGCTAAGGACAATTACAATGCAGTCACCTCAAATACAGCTTTACTTTTAACACAAAATCCCAATCCTATAAGAGTGCAATTGTAGTAGTGTGTATCGTTAAGCGTTTTAGTGCAGTAAAGGTAATCCCCCACTTGCTGACTGCCTACAAGAAGTATGCAAGCAAAAGCAACTGAGCTACTGCCATCCTACAGAAAAATTCAAGCCAAGCTTCTTAAAGGGTTTCCCAAAAACCTCAGATCTCCAATTCCAAAGGGTATTTTTAAGCCTTAGCTGATAATTCATTTATTTCAAACAGAAGGGCAAAACCTCAGAACAAAATATGCCTCTTGCAGTTTATTATAAGGGCACTTGGCCTGAACAGATAATGTTAGTGACCACACAAATCAAAAGGAAAGTCAGAAACAGAAGCCAAGATTCACAATTCCCACTGGCACTGCGCAAGCATCATGTTTTTATAATATCTTCCTCTGGTTCACCATAACGGCTACACAGTAAAAACTACTTAACAGTTACTTTCTAAAAATCCTAAAAATAAATAAATAAAAACTAATAAAAAATTCTATTAAAGCCAAACTAAAACATTTTTCTAACTGTACCAAGAAGATATGAAGTCTCCCTCCAGCTACAACCATTTAAGCAATCACACACTGATCTTCTATTGAGCGCGCCAAAGATAACTACTTGTAATTCTTTACCAAGTTTCCTAAGTCAGAACCTCAAGTATCTGCATGTGTGACAAACTTGCCAATTCACAAGATTCACCTGTACCACAGTGATAAGGACCAGCACAGCTATTCATATCTATGTTTAAAAGTTCAGTTTGAAAGCTTTTAATATCTAAGACTTTGAAGCTGGCCCCACGGCAAAGGGTCATATGCTGTGGCTAATGGGCACATTGCTGGTCAAGACACCATCCTATTCTATAATTAACAGCTATTAAAATGCAACACTAGCTTTTAAGTAGCCACTTAAAGTCAAGGAACATTTAAAACCCCAGTGACTTTTATAATGCTCTGTCCAAATTTACCTGGTAAATGCAAGATTCTAAATGAAAGTAACTTGTTCACTTTATTTTTTAAGGAAACAAGGACACAAAGAAAACACATTGGAAAAATATTAACTGTAATATTCCATTTTATCCCTCATATTTCAAGGCAGGGATATAGTTTAGCAGTATAAGTGCCTGCCTGGCAAGTGCAAGGTCCTGAGTTCAATTCCCAGTACCAAGAAAAAAAAAAAAAGTATCATTTATACATATAATCTTTATCAGGGCCATTTATTTTGTGAATAATTGTGATAAAAATTGACCCAGCTATTAAAAACTGAAAATATGAAAATTTCAAAATTTAAAGTTGATGTAAATTTAACTAAAACCACCATTCTAGGGCTGGGAATGTAGTTCAGTGGTAAACCCTTGCAATGTACAAATGAGGCTCCAGCATGGAAAAGAGAAACTACCACCATCCTCTTAGCTTCTCCATGTCAGCAATTTTGCCATTCCCGCTCTCAAGCCCAACAGCCCACACACTCAGAAACAGTGCTTAGCCTATTTATGTAATCACACAGAGCTTTCTGTAAAGCCCCACAAGATACCAGATGCTCTTCCGACCAAATTCAGCCAGTCTTTCAAAGTCACAACTATTTCCACATTCACCTTCACCTCAGAGAAAAATTTAAGACTATACCTCAAAGTCATCATCCATGTTGACTCTTTCACATTTGGAACCCGATGTGTAACACTATCACAGATATCCAATGTAACCTTCTCTTCATTCCGGATGCAGGGGACCTCAGTCTCTCCACAGTACTACTATAATCTTCTCTACCTAAAGGATATCTGAATGCAGAAAAGCCACATTCCTTCCACATTCCCTTCAGACTTCAGTAATCGGGAACTAAGCTCAGTGCAAACCAACTCAACAATACCCCTTCCTGCAGGGGTCCCGCCCAGCTCAGCTTTCAGTCAGAGCCAGACCAGCCTGTCAAAGACCCAATCAGCGCCTGGGCTGGCTGCCCCGTGTAGTCAGTGCAAGTCCATTCATCCGTTTCAGGGTGCTGCCATAAGCATTCACCAGCACCAGGTTTTCAGCATGCCTTGCAAAGCAGGTATTAAAGGTCATGGTTGCACCAATGGACATGCCAGCCTCAAATACACACACGACCAGGAGATGGAATGAAATAAAGAACTCCACCCCAAAATCCTGCAGGCTAACTTAGCAAAAACTGATCTGTGGCAATCAACTCACTATCAAAGCAACCACCAGGGCCACTTAATATTGCCATAGGTACTGGACATGTAGTCACCACAGTGCCTTCTTGGCTCTGAAAATGGATGCAGATGGTGGGACAGTCCAGGTAAGGAAAACTACACCAGGTAACTCCAAAGCTAGAACAATATTGTAATATAAATTTCCAGGACATTTCTCTCAGGGCAGAGCAAGAAGGCTCTACTTTTGCTTGACATTTCGGTAAAAGGATTTACAGTATTCAATTGTTCTCTGAATTCACTAAAAAAAAAAAAAAAAAAAAAAAAGCACCGTTCTATGTATTTTACTAGTAAGCGTATCATTTAAAATGCTGAGTATTTTAGCTAGTGAAAAATGAACTTTGAACTTTAAATTTTCATCTACATTGTTAATAAATTGAAGCTTTCAATAATAAATAATTGCTGCTGCTGGTAACATTTTGCCAAATGAGGAACTCCTGTTCCTTATGAAGTAACAAGTTAACTAAGTATATGAGGAGTGTGAAGGTGGCTTTCTTTAAAAAAACTGGAGCTAGAACCCAGGATCTTTGCAGAGCTGCATCTCCAGCCTGGGTAGTGAAGAGATTTCACTAAAATTGCCCAAGCTAGGCTTGAATTTTGGGCAAAAGGCTCTAAGAATAGAAAGGGGCAGTTGTTACCAGACAATGTTTCTAATTTAATTCCCTACACATGGGGGAGAAATTAACACCAGATTGGAAAGGAAAAGCAAAGAATAAGGCAAATTACATACAGGTTAATGAAATGTACCTGGAAAACTCAAGCTATTTAATATTTTAAATTTAGAAACTCCAAAATATTAAATTGCCAGTCCTTCAAATACACCTATTTGCTTATTTTTTACTCAAACGTTTATGAAAACTAAAGGCTGAAGATGGAGCTAATGGCAAGGCACTTGCCTAGCATGCACAAAGCCCTGGGTTCTATCACCAGAAAACTAAGACTGGCTAAACATAAAAATAATTAGAATTTGCAAAATATGCTTACAGTGTTTTTTCCAAGGTAGCCAATTAACATAGTATGCCTTTAAAAATTCTTTTTAAGGGGTATGATTTCTCCCTCAGTTTTGCAACTCCTGTGAAATGACGATCAATTTAGATACTTTTCAGCACATATATATTAGTTTAGGAGTTTTAAGAATCCCATTCTATTGTATAATTTGATCCCTACCAAAATTCCCTTCTAGAACTAAACCAGATCCTTGAGATATCTTTCCAATTATTCTAATGAAAATTAAATACATATAAAGACATCTACAAAAATCCAACTCAGCTCATTCTTAACAGTACTCAGGAAAACGCTCTATCTGGAAGAGTTCAAATTAGAAACAGGAACACAGAGGATGTTTTTGTCCCCATCTATCCCACTTTTTTTTTTACTTCTATTAGTACATGTTTGCAGTTGTAGGAGGTCGGAACATGTACAGGACACACTTCTATTCCCTTCTTTTTCCTCTCTCTCTCTCTCCTGTCACCATCTATCTCTGCAGAGTAAATCCTGCTGCCCTCCAGAACACACAGTTGCACCAATTCTTAAACAGATACAGGCAGCCCTGGTTTGAATTAACTTCAAGCTTATTGTTTGGCCTGGTAGGGATGGGGGTGGGGTCGGAGGCAAAGCAGAAACTCTAACCCCACTAGAAAAACCCAGGACAAATCTACCCCAGCACCACTGGGAGGGACCTGCACCTTTCCAGTTAGTTAATCTGAAATTGGCCCACGCTAGAGAAAAGAGCTATTTCTCCAAAATAATTCAGTGCCTGAAACTGTCTGCAAATATTTTGTAAAGTGACACATTAAATATGCTCTCAGAGAAGAGAAAACGCACTGCTGAAGTAGCACAAATACTCCAGTCTCTGCCATCTCTTAGTAGTTATTTGTAAGCAAAAATACACCAAGCCATGGGGTGAGCATGGACAAAGGCGGTGTTTGCAGAAACCTGCATAACTTTGGAATGAGAGGACTTCTGGGCATTTGCTCAGTATTCTAATACCCACTGTTCAGCTAACAGAGTAAAGGCAAATTCCTTTCCTCTCAGAGGCGCCCACCATGGCCTCCTAACCCGGAGAGGGGAAGGCACGCTGCAGCCGGGCGTGTGGACAGCTGCTTTCACCTATCCTGATCATTCACTGCCTCCTAAAATCCTGCAGATTCCCCAAGACTGTTAGTTGAGACTGACTTAGTGTTGCTGTAACCTGACCGGCTCTGCAGAGAATATTTGCTAGGAGAGCTTCCTACACATGCAGACTCCATTCCTTCCAATTATCATCAACACGTACCGCTACCATAAATTTAAATGCAAGGGTAAAAGACGGGAAATGCCAAATCATACTGCAGCCCCGTAAATGTAAAAGGAAAAGAAGTTGTGCTCATCTCTATGTCTTTCCCCCAATAAGGCGGTGAGAATAGAAAAAAAAAAAATTAGCTCACCTTTGCCTTTTGGGGACCGAGTGTTCAACTTCTATGGGTTTCCCGTGCAGTTCCGTTTTACCTGCGGACACAGGAAAGATGAGACCGTCGGCCAACTTCGGCGGCTTTATCCGCCCATAAGACCTGCACCGCTAGCTAAGTGACAACAAGAATGGCTCCTGAGACTCTGAATGGCCCCCAAGGCCGAAAGAGAAGCCAGGCGCCGCGTGGGTGGGAAGCCGACCCCTTTGCGTGGGTGTCGAGTTTTAGTCTACACAGGGTTTATCAAAGAGCGAGATCCATGTGCACCACTTCTTCGGTGACACTAAGCCTCCTGGCTCTCGCCCACCTCAAAAGTCACCCAACCCCACCAGGCCTGGAGCAGCGACGCGGCCCCTCTTGCCACCAAGCACACTCCCCAGAGGACAAACCCGGGCAGGGGGATGCTGGCTTTCTTCAGGAGGGTCGCCCCGGCCTTCCTCTCTGGTTTAAACCAGCGCCACCAAGAACAGTAGGCAGTGGGTTTGGAGAGGACCTGAGTGGCAGTAAGGGGGTCGGCCAGCAGAGAAGGGAAAAGAAAAGATCGGTCAGAGGTGCAGCTCAGCACAGACCAAACCAGGCGCCACCCAGCCTGCAGCCCGAGTCGATCGGGGGAAGCCGAAATGCCCTGGGCTCCAGGGGACCCCAGCGCAGGCTTCCCGGTGGACGTCCGGGTCCGCCTGCCACCGCGCCGCGCGTGTCCGGGGGGCCGAGCGCACGGGCCACCCGAGAGGCCGCAGCCCCACGCCGGGCCCCGACAAGAGGCGGGTGGCGCGGCGGCGGCGGCTCCCTCTGTGGCGACAGGCAGCCGCCCCCGCCCACCTGCCCCCTTCGCTCTTCGGACCGGGTGAGGCGGAGCAGGGACGCCGGCCACCGTCGCTCCCCGCCCGCGGGTGGAGGGGACGCGCGGGGCCGCTCGCGCGAGGCACGGCCCGCGGCCTCACGGCCCGCCGGGGTCGAGGCCACTTTCCGCTTCCCACGCCCGGAGACAGCAAGGCCAGCGCCGCCTGGTACGATCAGAAGCAGGAAGGAGGGACGGGCGGCGTGCGCGCTCGGGGCCGAGGCCCGCGGGGCCGGGGCCGGGCCGGGGCCTGGAGCCCGGGCGGGGCGCGAGGCGAGCGCCTTCCGCAGCCCGCGCCGTCCTCGGCGTCCCCGAGAGCGCGCCCGCCCCTCGCCCGCAAGCCCTGCCCGGGAGGGAGCACAACGCGGCCCCAGCCCCGGCGAGGCCGAGGGGCGCGGGGGCCTCGCCCGCCGCCCGCCCGCGGGCCCCACCTGAGAGCGCCTCGATGGCCTTGAGGGCCCAGCCCTCGTCTGGGCAGTCCACGAACGCGTAGCCCGTCTTCACCAGGAAGGGTCCCGACACCGGGATCTTGGCGTCCTTGAAGATACTTTCGAGGTCCGAAGGGGCGGCGTTCTCGCTGAGGTTTCCAATGTACAGTTTGTTCATTGTTAAGAGTGGTTGGTTTAAAAAAAATTAATGAGAAAAACGAAAAATTAAAACCACCCACAGTGATGGATAGATCCGGCGGGTTTTGTTTCCCCTCGTCTTCTTGCCTTTAAAATACACAGCACAGAAAGAACCAAGCCAAGAGCCAGGAGCAGAAAATCAGATCCGAAGGTTCTTGTTTTTCCTTTTCTAGGTATTAAAAAAGGAGAAAAAAAAATCTAGCCACAACCCAAACGCAACGTCGAGTCTTCCTAACTCTGAGGAGGCGGGATTAGCAAGAGAAAGGAGGAGGAAGGAGGAGGGGAAAAAACTACTTTTTGTCTCTTCCTCCCCAACCCCTTTGGCACGGCCAGCGGACTGTGAAAATATCACACTACGTGCGGCAGGCGCCGCCTCCCCAGAAGAACCCCGAAGGGTGACTGGCAGGAGGGACGGAGAGGAGGAGGAGGGAGGCGCAGGAGGCGGAAAAAATCCGCTCCGAGTGTCCGGCTTTTTGAATGAGCCACGTGTTCAAACTACAAATCAACGTCTCACGTGAGGAATCCCAGCGCCTCAATTAGAGCGGGTTTCGGAGGAAAGGAAAAAAAAAGAGCGAGCGAGAGGAAGAGGGGGAGGGGAAACGAGACGGGGCGAGGGGCCGCGAGGTGGGGGTGGCGAAGGGGGGTGCTCAAGCGGCCGCACCGGGGCGCAGGGGCGCGCGGTGCGGGGAGCTGATTGTCACCGCCCGAGTTTAGTAAGGGTCATCTGGTCGGGGCGGATCCGAGGAGGCAGTGTTAGAATGCTGATTATCTTTCTTTCAAATAGGAGCCAGAGATGATAACTAGACAGTTCCTCAGCTCTAGTGACCGTAATTTTAATCGTTCGATTTTTAAAAAATAAAACCAAAGAGTCACAATCTCCAAGTCGTCTGGTGGCTTTGATGACGAGAAGTATAACCCCGGCCAAGCACGGGGCACATTTCCAAGGCTGGCAAGAACGGAAGCGCACAGGGGGAGGGGTGGGGGAGCGGGGCGGGCAGGCGCGCCCCACCCTCAGCACCCTCACCGGAGCCTGGGCTTCGGGGAGCGGGGCGCCGGGGCGGTGGGGGAGGGGAGCCGCGGCGTCCTGGGCGGGTGTCTGGCGACACCTCCTCCGCCTCGGCTCGCGGTGGCTCAGGGCTGCGCGCTTGCCATTGGCTGCTCGATTCAGAAAAGGATCGGGGATAAATGAGGCCGGGGGCGGGCTTGGCCACCGGTGGGGGAAGGGAGCGCAGGGGCGGTGGTTCCTGGCTTGGGCCTGGGGACGCAGGGGGCCTGGGCTGCTACGGGAGAGAAGTCCGAGTGAGGAAAGTCGGTACTTAAGGGGAAACCCTTTCGTCTAGAGGGGAGAGAGTAGGTTCGTAGTTTAAATAATTTTAGTTAGAGAACTTGGGACTCAAACAGGAAGACCGCTCTGGGTTAGCTCTAGGTGGGATTCGCGCTCGAGAAACTGTTCCAGTCTCCTCTGCCTGTATTTGACCATGCGAGCCATTCATAATTTTCCTTGTATGTAACGTGTACAATGGTTGGGGGTGGAGGGTCTGGGCCCGGTGGAGCCTTCCTGGGCCAACAAACTGAGAGCTAGAGCCCATGAATAGGGAAACGAAGGCAGTGCTGGGGATCTTGTGCAAATCTCTGCCGTGTAATGGTTGTGTACTCCACTCCAAAAGGATTAATTTTGTATCAGATACTCGTGATAAATTTTTAACAGGTATTTCATAGATAAGATATAAAATGCTAATTTTCAGAAAGTGGAATTCTATACAGTGTGAAAATATAAACAATCTTTGATTTCGTATTATTAGAGCAAAGTGAGTAGAGAAAACATTAACACTGGAACATCTTCAATAATTGAAAAGTTACAGTTCGCGTCTTTGTCAAAAATGTTATGTAGCACGCAAGCGTATTTGCCTATCAAATGATGAGTGGCAGATTAAAACATGGGGAAAACTAAAATATACAATGTATTTACATTTTTGTCTTTTAAAAATTTGATTTTTCTAAGTAACCGGAAGCTCCCAGGTCATCCATTTTAAATGCAACTGTTGTAACTGATTTTTCTTTACTACCAAACATATCCAACTTTACAAACGTAAACACACTCTCACAGTATTTTCATTTAATTTAGTGAAATGTTTTTATTCCATGAGAGGGAACAAACAGGTTCTTGTATCATAGAGTTTAGACGGTATTATGAGCTCCATCTGTAAAGTACATACATTTTGGTGGCTACATTTCTACTTGTGGTTAAGTTTAACTTTTTAAAAGTGCTTATTTTTCTTTTTCATGGTTTTTAAAAGAAAAAAATTATTCAAAAAAAAAAAAGGAAAAGAATGTACCCTTGTGACTTGTGTTGATGCAATGTCCATGTTAAAATTATGAATGTTTTACATGTACCTGTTGCATGTGATCAAAAGCTATCTTGAGAAATATTTTTTATTTGATTTTCTAAAAGATCAATTTTAAATTAGTGCTGATCACTGAAATAAGAAATTTTTCATGAGAAACTATATGGTCAAATTGAATGGTGGCTGTGGATTGTTAGCTGCACTTGGCTCTTATTAAAAAAGATCTAAGGAAATAACTACTCTTTAAGTATGGGATAAATTGTTTATTTTCCATAAATACAAGCCGTGCTTATCTGTCACTATCAAACAAACCGAACAGCTGGAATTTCAAACAAGTGTGTGCTGTTTTGATGAAATATGTTCCTGGGACTCCTGTGAACTTAATCTGTGTATTATTGTAACAAACTGGATACCCCATCCAGGACCTTAAAAACACACACTGGTAATACAAGCTCAGACATCAAAAAAAGGAGGTGGATACAGCCCGCTTCCAATCTTCCAAGCATTTAAGGAGTAAGTACATATATTCAGTGGCTAAATAAGAAGATTATAAATTTTTACTGCACTTCAAGTACAAAAATTTCTTTGGTTTGCTGGTTTAAAAAACGAATATGCTGTCCGTGTAGTTTCCAGTCTTTTAATGAATCTCACACAAATTAACTGCACATGGGCCACTCCAGGTTTTTCCTGAAACAGTTGTAGTTTGTAATATTAATTCCACCAAGGAAGGACCTTCCATCCATGTTTTTACTCTTTGGACAGCTACCTCCTCTCCTTATCTGCTAACCTGAAGGCAATAAAAATCTTAGGGGTCGGTGTACTATTCAGCAGAAATGAAGGTCGGTTACCGTTGCATATCCACAGGTTGAGGGTGAAGGCTCAGCAAGCAGAGGGCATGGGCAACCGCGGGGCTCCCCTTTCCCACACCGGGCCTCAGACCCAAACGCGGGGGATACAAAGCCCGCCGCTCGCCTGGGCCTCTCCTGGACTCTGATCTGCTTGCACCAGAGGCGTGACCGGTGGTAACCTGCTCTCCCCTTCCTCCCGAGTCTGCAGTTCGTTTTTGCTTAAAATTGTTAAAAATGGTGGCCCCGGAGGTGGGAACAGAGGGGTTTGTTTTGTTTCCTTTTTCCTCCAGCTTTGCCCAGGGAAAGAAGGAGGGGTCCACGCAGCTCACCCTGGGGAAGGTCTTCCGTCGGCCCCGACCCCTGGGCGCCCTCCCCCTGGCCCTGCCGCCGGACGGCGGAGCGCGAGGCCGGGACTGACTGACGGGCCCGGGAGACTCCAGGTCGCCCCCTCCGCGCGATCCCACCTGAGCCTCCCAGCGCGAGCCGCGGGAACAGACGGGCAGCGCGCGTCCGGCAACCCCTCCGCACCTCCGGCCTCCGCTGCTGCATGCGAGCTGCGCCCTGGAGCTCAAGGATGCTCGGTACCCACGAAGAGGGCACAGGAAGCCCTCGACGAGCCCGAGTCTCTGCCCTAGGCGGAGCCCGACCGCCCGACGGCCCGCAAAGGCGCCCAGGGCGGGGCTCCGGCGAAGCCCCGCCGACTCCCAGAGCCCAACTTGAGCAACCGGCGCCGGGAGAGACCCCGCCCCCGGGAAGGGCGTTCCCGCTCCCGATTGGTGGATGAGGGAGCCTATCACCGTCGGCTGGCTCCGTCAGAGCCGTTTGCTGGTTCCCATTCATTGGTCCGGGAGCCGCCCTAGGGATTTCCATCTTTTGTGGCGCGAAAATAACCCTTTGCTCCCTCGTAGTTTTTGTTGTGGTTGAGCGTGGGGTGGGGTCTCCCTCTCCAGGCTCTCTGTCTCCCGGCCCTTTAACTGTTTGCCCCCAGCCCCAGCCCCAGCCCCCAGGGAAGAAAGAGGGAAGTTAGGACACTGCTTTGCTCCCGGGAGCGCTACCCGCTCTCGGGCTGACCGCGTGGCGCCTAGGGCCCCCTTCTCTCCCCTCCCCCACGCCAGCGCCCCGAGGTCCCGGCTCTGCGCCTCTCTCCGGTGGCGGGAGCATCTTAGCGTTCATGAGTCTTTAGAAAGTGTTAAGACGACTACAACAAAATTCGTTTCCAAGTACCTGAACTTTCCCTGAGTTTCCGTTGATAGTTGGATCATTCTGTCCCCTCCCTTTCTAACCCCTTTGTGGTCCACTGGGTTGTTTTAAGCGAAACCAAACAAACCCTCCCAAAAAAAGCAAACGAAAAATTCCTGTAAAATCAGCTTTGCCGAGACCACGTTTTCGTTGAAGCTGAGACCGACCGTGAAAGATGAACGATTTCTGTAGCTGAAATGATCTAGTTTTACTGGTGTTTGATGAAGGCGGTGAGAAAAAATAAATATAAATTCGGCTTAGAAAAATACGAAACAAACGAAATAATCATATTTAATGTGGTTAATTGAAAAGGTAAAGAGCTACAGTTCTGTGTTTCAAAGACTGTTGCCTTTGGTAGATTTGTTGTATCCTATAAATAAGTTATCATTGGTCTTCTCAGAAGTAAAGATCAGCATTATAGTGACAGAAAGAAGGAAGTATAAATGTCGTTGGTGTATCTAATTTCAAAACAAACTACCAATCTTACTTTATTTGGACAAAAAGGAAATGTACCAGTTAGAAATATAGTTTGATAATGTGTTCACATAATTTAATTGTTCGTTTTTTAAGTCTTGATAAGATGCTCAATTTGGTTAAAATCGGTAAAATTTCTCAATAAATATTAAAATTTTTGTGAGAATTGATTTAAATCAAAAACTTGGAAATTTTTTTGTCTATATTGTTAACTTAGCTATAGTATGCTATAAGCTTCTTCTATAAATTCTTTTGGAAAAACTGTGTTTATTCTTGTACTATTTAGCTCTAGTCTCTAAAAACTAAATATAAACTGTCATGTGCCACAATACTAACATATTTATTTCATTGGCTTTTAAAAACTGAGTTAATTAGTAAAGAAAAACTTTTAAAACAAAAATAATTATTATATATACTTTGTTAACATTTTATATAATTCTACCACATCTCATTTATGTGGCTAATAGTGTTTTTTTTTTAAGCCTTCTTGTAAAGTTTCTCAGAAACCTCAGGATCATTCACAAATGGTTTGAGTTGAACAAATCAATTACTGCTTAGAGACTAATGTACAGTACAATACTAAAGATAATAAAGTTAATAATTTCAAT